TTATAATGTTGCCAAAAAGCATCCCAAAAGCCTGGAAACAGCACTGGGGACAAGAAGGCACTGATACAATGAATTCTAGCCACGTGGATGTGGGGATACCCTGTAGTCAACTAATCTTGTAGAGCTGAGATTGGTAGGTGGAAGCATTCTCTATATATGTTTTTAAGTTTCTATCACTATGTAATAGACCGAGAAACCTCGGTTGCTCATAAACAAATGGGGTTTATCAACACACAGCTCTGTGGGTTGGAAGTCTGGGCACTGCCATGACAGGCTCAGGACCTAATATTACAGAAGGGTGGCAGATACCTCACCTGGAACTCAGGGTACAATGTAGTTCCTTGATGTCCCTTTTCTTCCCAGCCTTCATCTAGAAGTTGCCCCCCCCCATCCTAGAACCTGCTGGAGTTGCCCACCAAGTCAAGGAACGCTCATTTCTTTTAAGGGGACAGGCGTGAGTTGAGACTCGCTCTTTATAACCCGTACAGACAAAAAGACCTAAAATAGGGCTGGAGAGATGGCTCAGAGGTTAAGAGGTCCTGAGTTCAATTCCCAGCCACCACATGGTGGCTCACAACCATCTGTAATGAGATCTGGTGCCCCCTTCTGGTCTGCAGGTGTACATGTGCACAGAACACTGTATGCATAATAAAATAAATAAATCTTTTTTTTGAAAGATCTAAAATAAAATGTCAAATACTGCAGTGTTTAACAAATAGACCCCAAATGCTCGAAGCCTGACTCACGTGACACCTTTATTCAAACAATTAGAATCTAAGTCCTATGGTGGTATTTTATTTGTACTGAAATATGATTTTATTTGTATGTTAATAAATAAAGTTGCTTAGAGGTCAGAGCTAATAGCAAGCCATAGCAGAGCTGGGCATTTGTGGCGCACACCTTTAATCCCAACATTGGTAGAAGAGCTAGGTAGATATCTGTGTGGTCAAGGATACAGCCAGCATTGGAGACACATGCCTTTAATCTCAATACCATAAAAGACCTGGAGGGCTGTACATACAGGCAGTGACGAGGCAGTCATGTGTTTGGGTTTACAACCAATGAAAAGACAAAACAAAAAGATGATATAAAGACAAACACACAGGAAGTAGGCTCCCTTTTGGAGAGGTCTCTTGGCTAGCTGCAGCAGGCGGGTAAGGCTCTTAGCTCTGATCTCTTGGCTTTCTTCTTTGCATTGGTTCTGTGTTTCTTATTTAATAAGATGGTTGGTTACATCTACAAAGTCCTATAGCCCTTTAACCTCAACCCCCAAAAAATGTCCTATCCATGGGGGACACGTGCCCTTATGAAATTTACTATCCCGATAGTGAACTGCACTCTTAAACTCTGTTCAAACGCCACCCCGCACAAATGGCCCATGAGACAAAGTGAGGTTACTTCTCCCCACTGCTACAAAAGGGCTCCATTCTCTTTCAGAAGGCTCTCTCTCTCTCTCTCTCCTCCCCCATCCCCAGCTCAGAATTTTTAATTATGTGCATATGTCTGTGTGGGGTTATGGGCACGTGAATGTAGTTGCCCGTGGAGGCCACAGGCATTGGATCTCTTGGAGCTGGAGTTGCTAGTGGTTGTGAGCCACCAACATGGATGCTGGGAACAGAACTCAGGTCTTCTGCAAAAGGGGTAAGTGCTCTTACCAGCTGAGCTCTCTCTCTAGCTTCTTTTTATTACAACACTAATTCTGTTAATTCTACTAATTCTGGTCTGATAAATACTTTTCTCCCATCTTTTGGCTTATTGTTCCCACCAGGACATTATCTTCCTCTTTTAAGGTGAAGAAACTGCATGCCTACAATTCCTCCTCTTGGTAATTCATGGCATGGGACTTGCCTGAACCACTAGGAGAAGGCATGTGTCCATCGGGACCTGGTGTATAATTTTGCCTACCAAAATTATTATTTTAAATTTATTTAAATTTTTAATTTTATTATTATTGTTTATTATTATTATTATTATTATTATTGTGTGTGTATAAGTTTGTATATGTAAGTACAGATGCTCACAGAGACCAGAGGTGTCAGATCCCCTGTAACTGGAGTTTTAGGTAGTTGTGAACCACCTGACATGGGTGCTGGGAATTGAACTCAGATCCTCTGGAAGAACAGTATGTACTCTTAACTCCTGAGCCAGCTCCCTAGACCTAAAATTTTTTTAAAAGATTTTTAAAATTATATTTAATTATGTGCCTGCGTGTGGGTATGTACATGAGTGTGGGCGCCCCTGGAGGGCAAGGTTATCACATCCCCTTAAGCTGGATTTACCGGAAGTTGTGAGCCACCGAATGTGAGTGCTTGGAACTAAACTTGAATCCTCTTCAAGAGCAGCAAGTACTCTTAACCACTGAGCCATCTCTCCAGCCCCTAGGACATGCACGAGGAGGTCAAAGGACAACTCACAGGAGTCAATCCTCTCCATCATGTGGGTCCTGGGGATTGGATTCAGGTCACCAGGCTTGGTGGCCGATGCTTTTACCCACTGACACATCCCTACCTACCATGGTGACTAAATAAAAATAGAACATATTGCACACAAAAACATCTGAAAGGTTCCTGAAAGAATGATAATCGGCCCTGGTGGCGGCACTGATTGCAACGTGGAAAGGTCCCGGTCATGACAGGACACAGTATCAGTATTCAGAGCTTTATTAGGAGGAAAAAGGGTGGGGGGAGAGGGGACCAGGCCAGGTGAGAGAGAAAGATGGTGGGGTGGGGGAAGAGGGGAGCAGAGCAGAGCAGGGAGCAGAGAGCAGAGAGAGCATGCGGTCTGCATCCGGCTTTTAAGGCACAGATTGCATGACCATGCTGCCCGTACGTAGCAGCAATCACCCCCTGATGTCATAAGACACAAGATCCTGAGCTGCCTATGTGCAGGAGTGAGGGCAGGATCCTAACAGCTCCTCCTTCTACTGTAGTAAGAACCAAAGCAGAACAAAGATCATCACAACGAAAATGTTTTATCCTTGGGGCTAGAGATGTGGCTCAGTGGGTAGTGTACTTGCCTAGTGTGCTCAAAGTCCCAAGTACCATTTACAGCACCACAAAAAAATCAGACATGGGGATACATACCCATAATCCTAGTACTTTGAAGGTGGATGGAGGAATATCACAAGTTCAAGGCCATCCTTGGATGCTTACTAAGTGCCCTTATTTGCTGTGCTGGCTAGTTTTATGTCAACTAGACTGAAGCTAGAGTCACTGGAGAGGAGAAAGCCCCAGTTAAGAAAAAAACGCCTAAGTAAGATCAGGGTATAGGCAGGCCTGTGGGGCATTTTCTTAATTAGTGATTGATATGGGAGGGCCTGGCCCATTGTGAGTGGTACCACCCTTGGGCAAGTGGTTCTATAAGAAAGCAGGCTGAGCAACTGATGAGGAACAATCCAGTAAATAACAACCTCCCCCCACCACCCCATGGCCTCTGCATCAGCTCCTACCTCCAGGTTCCTGCCTTGTTTGAGTTCCTATCCTGACTTCCTTCAATGATGGACTGCAATGTGGAAGTGTAAGCCGAAAGAACCCTTTCCTACTCAGCTTATTTTTGGTCACGGTATTTCACCACAGCAATAGAAACCCCAACAAAGACATTTGGTTTTTATTGCTGTTTTAGAACACCGGCCAAAAACAATTGGGGAAGGAAAAGGTTTCTTTGGCTTACACTTCCATGTCACAGTCCATCCTGTAGGGTAGTCAGGGCCGGACCCTGGAGGCAGGAACTGAAGCAGAGGCCATGGAGGAACAAGACTTGCTCTTCAGGGCTTGTTCAGTCTGCTTTCTTATACAACCCAGGGCCACCAGCCCAAGGGTGACACTGTCCACAGTGGGCTGGACCCTCCACACATTAGTCATCAATCAAGAAAATGCCCTACATAGACTTGCCGCCAGTCCAATTTGATGGCGGCATTTTCTCAGGTGAGGTTCCTCTTCCTAGATGACCCTATCTTGTGTCAAGGTGACAAAAAACAAACAAACAAACCAAACAAAAACCTAACAAGTATAGTGAGCTTGAAGCCAACTTGGATTACGTGAACCCCTGTCTACAAAATACATGAACAAACACACGTTTTTATAATGAAGTCAGAGACAGAGTATAGAAGTTCACCGGATGAAATGGGAGGCTCCAAGACTTCCTGATTCTCAGTTTCTTGTGTAGAGGCTGCAAAGAGTAGAAACTACAGCTGAGGGCTGTGGGAGGATGGACGGAGCAGAGCTCAGTACCTGGAACAAGGTCCACACAGTCATCCTCAACAGGGGGATGACTGTGTGAACTTGTTCTAAGATCGGGAAAACTTGCCAGGCGGTGGTGGCGCACACCTTTAATCTCAGGAGGCAGAGGCAGGCGGATCTCTGTGAGTTTGAGGCCAGCCTGGTCTACAGAGCGAGATCCAGGAAAGGTGCAAAGCTCCACAGAGAAACCCTGTCTGGAGAACCAAAACAAAACAAAAAGATCTGGAAAACTTGAAAACACCAACAGGGTTCTGGTCAATACTGTTCTGGCCATTGTGATTAAAAATACGCAGAACAACCAACATGAAGGAAGGAAGAACTGTCCTGACCAGGAAGGTGTGGGGGTGGGGGGGGAGGCACAGCCGTGGGAGCCCACTGATACATGGGCAGGTCAGGGAGTACAAACTGACAGGAAATAGGACCAGGCTATACACCTCAAGGCCCGCCCACCTTCTCACCCCTCAGAAGCCTACTTCCTCCATTGAGGCTCTATTTCAAACCAAATGTTCCGTAATCACACAAAACAGCCACAGCGCCACCAGCTGCGGATCAAGCATCCAACAAAGCCAGTCCATGCAGGACCTTTCACATCCAAAACAACCCAGTGGTTTTCTCAGGGCCGTGGGATTTTATGTGGTTTTGACTCTTCTTTTATACAAATGTGTTCAAAATATTCTACCCCCATTTTCTCTCCCCATTCCCCTCCCTCATCTTTTCTCTGTTTCTCTCTCCCTTTCTTCTTCTGTCATAATGCACACTTACAGGCACCCAGCAACTCACACCCTGCAGCGTCATGGAGAAGAACAGTGACACAAAGTCTCGAAACTCTGATAGCAGCAGAGACATGGCTCTCTGGCCTATTAGGAGGATAAAAGAAAAAGAAAAAAACAATTCAAGAGTTGATTCTGACAACAGAGCCATTTCTAAATGCAGCAGGCCCTCGGAGCTCTCCTTAGAACATTCTATCATCTTTACTGAGGAGGCGATAAAAAGTTTTGTTCTCCCTGGTGCTAGGAACTAGGAAACAATCAGAGCAAACATTATGATCAAAGAAAAAACAACTAGATTTTTCTTAGCATATGTTTGAAGCCCCTTATGTTAGAAGCAGCTGGAGCAATCTCAACAGTCTCCCTCCTCCCCAATAACCATTTCTATATTTCCCACAATAACGTGTGTGCCCTTTTCTATTACCTGCTTGAGACACTCCTAAAAGATTCCATGAAAAATGAGCTCGTTGGCCACGATACTGTTTATAGATCTTCTCATTGTACAAGTGAATAAATTGAAACAGTGGGCCTGTCCAAGTTATGGGTCCCAAAGGATAGGCCAGCCTCTCGCACCTGATGGAACATTCATATTCCAGAAATATCCAATATGAGCTTCAGCCTAGCCAACCATCCTATCAAAAGGCATCTCCCCAGTGCATTATGAGACACCGAATGGAGGGAGGACCCAGGGACAGCCAGCAGAGACAGACAGTGGCCATACAACAGGTGGAGCCAGGGGAGGTGCAACCACAGAAGGAGGAATGTTGACAGCCACCAGCAGCAAGGAGCCAATAGGGATGCCCAGAGAAGCGGTTCTCAGCCTGTGGGTCTTGACCCCTGGCCTATCCAATATTTACATTACAATTCATAACAGTAGCAAAATGACACTTATAAAAAAGCAACAAAATAATTGTATGGTTGCGGGGGGTCACCACAACATGAAGAACTGTATTAAAGGGTCTCAGTGACAAAAAGGTTGAGAACCACTGTTCTAGAGTGTCCAGAGGGGGGCGCTACCCAGATGACACAGCGGCACAGCTTTATTCTTTAGAACCCAGAAGAAGGTCTCTCTACAACAGAAAGGCTCCAAAGCAAGCCTATGGGTAGAAAAGGGCTCAGGTTTTTGGTTTGTTTGTGCTAGGATTAAAGGCCTGTACCATTATACCCAATTTCAATCCTCCTTTTAAAAACACAGCTTTAAGCCAGGTGGCGCTGTGGTGGCGGCTGCGGTGGCCCACACTTTTAATCCAAGCACCTGAAGAGGCAGAGGTGGCCAAATCTCTGAGTTCGAAGCTAGCCTGGCTACACAGAGAAAGCCTGTATTGAAGAGTTTTTCAATAGAAACCAACCAAACCAAACCAACCAACCAACCAAACAAACAAAAACCCTATACTTTTAATCCCAGCACTTGGGAGGCAGAGGCAGGCAGATCTCTGAGTTTGAGGCCAGCCTGGTCTACAGAGTGAGTTCCAGGACAGAAGTGCTGCATAGTGAGACCCTGTCTCAAAAACAAAACAACAACAACAACAAACAAAACAACAAAAAACCCAAGCATCTCAGAAAGTTATCTAAGCTGGCCTTGAATTTTCCATTCTCTTGTATTAGCCTCTTGATCAGCAGAAGGGTTTATAAGTGTGTGTCATCATACTCAGCATGCACCAACTGAGGTCATATACATTTTCTTCTGTTGATTTATAGATTTAGATTATGGTGGCAGAGGGGACTTCAAACCTCCTCCCCCATTTTTCTCTGATAAATGAGCTTCACTGAAGCTGACAATGGGTCCCACAAGGGTAGCATTTCCCAGCTTCCTTGTATCCTCAAAGCACCCATGTAGCCATTAAGAAAACACAATCACAGATCCTGTGAATTTCCAGGAATATGCCTTAAAAATGAAACACAGTATTCTGAGGACATCATTTTTTTGCCTTCCTTCCTGCTGCCTGGAATACGGACGTGATGGTTGATCTCCAGATTCAAAGATTAATTCTGGGAGGCTGAGGCCCTGAGTTTGAATCCCAGAACCTACATCAGACAGTTCATAACCACTTGTAACTCCAGCTCTATAGGATTTGACACCTTCTTCTGGCCTCCATAGGCACCTAAACACACACACACACACACACACACACACACACACACACACACACACACACACACAACCAATAAATTTTTTTTGAAAAGGAAAGTTAGAAAAGAAACAGGTAATTCTGTATAATAAATACAAAAACCTTCCCTTGTTCCCTCCCTGTGGAGGGCAGGACAATTGGCCCCACTCTTCCCCTGCAGGGCAAGCTTTGGCCACTGGCAAATCGGCTCTGTGTTGCAGAGCTGGGCTGGGAGAATCCCACACAAAAGTCTCAGGCATCTACCCTTTCCCCTCTGAAGCTGTTGGGATGTTTTCGCGGGTGGGAAGAATTTGATTTCAGGGGTTATTAAGTTTAAAATAGTTGTCTATAATATTGCTCAGCTTTAAATACTGCACATGTCTTTGTGAAACACCATGAATTCATCCACATGTCATGTTAGAGGGCTCTGTCTTGTTCCACCCTTCCTGCTTCCTGCTGAGGTACACTTAGTGCAGGAGGCTCTCAGCCCTGGGCTCCCCACAAACCTAGCCTGGCTTCACACCATAGTCCTCTGGGGCTGGGGATACAGCTCAGGGCACAGAATAATAGGCTAGCAAGCAAGAAATCCTGGACTGTTGGAGTCCGCCTTTCCCCTCCCTTCCTCAGAATCTTGTGGCAGCAATCCTCCTGCCTCAGCCTTGGTATTGCTGAAACTACACTCCATTCTCTTCCTCTGAAGTTCACTGAACTTAGTTCAGGGATGTCAGGGTCTAAAAAAGGATGAACCGCCTGCCCTATGCCCTAAGGCTTCAGAGTCCAGGGCATCCTGGAGTTCAGGGTCCCCTCGAAGATAAGATTGTGCATAGTGAGGCTCGAACCCCCTCTCTGCATGTGGGGTTGCACCTCACATCTCACCTGGTCCTGGTAAGGGAGGGGGGTGGTGTCTCAGTTTCCTAGCCACCAGGTTGCATTTGGGAGCCCACTCAAGGCCACCATGGGAGGAGACACAGGGCCAACTGTGTTCTGGGTCCCCAGAACAGTGGATACTTCTCCACTTCCTGAGCTCGTGGATGCCGGACACCTGGGCTCGTGACCCCTCCCCACCCGATAGTCTTCTTAGGTCCCCTCCAGTCCCCAGCCCTCCCTTTTCCCTCCCCTCCCCTCCTCCCTCTCCTTCCCTCCCCCTCCCTCTCTCCTCCCTATCTTTCCCTCTTTCCTTCCCTCTTACCCTCCCTTTTCCCCTCCCTGCTCCTGAACCTGCGGCTCCGCCTAGGAGCGGCGGGCGGGACAAGAGTCCACCCGGACCCTGCCGCGGCCCGGGGCCTGGTAGCTCAGTCCTTGGAGGTAGCGACATGCGGCTCCTGTTCCTGGCGGTGCTGCGGCCACACACCGGCAACGCGGTCACGGCCGAGCGCCTACGGTATGTTGTGGGGCCTGAGCATCCCTCGCCTGGGGATGCCGGGCTGGGCCGGGCGCCGGAGCCGCGCGTGCACAAACGGCTGGGCCGTGGGCGCAGGTGCCGCGCGCGCGCGAGGGGGGGGGGGGGCTGCAGCTTTGATCCCAGATGCCGCTACCCTATCTGGCGATTGTGAGTGCCCTAGGATGCGGCAGAGGGGCAGCCTGGGCCAGCGCTGGCGGGGTTGGGGGAAGACTCAGCGGCTCTGCAAAGGCCTCCATGCAGAGGTGAGGTTTGGGGGAGAGTGCCCTGGGATTCGAAGGGGGGGCCCCACGTGGCTGGAGAAAGGCTGAGAGTCCTAGTGAAAGGCAGACCTACGTGGTTGGAGAAGGGCAGAATCCTGGTGGATGGTCCAGCACGTGCAGGGATCCAGGGTCTGCGTTCTGTAGCTGCTGTTCCCCGCCCGCACCTCCCATCTGGTTCTCTTCTGAACGCTCAGCTTATCTTGTTAGGTCTTTTTGCTTTGTGTTTACCTGGGACGGAAGCCTGGTGCCAGGACAAGGCAGGGAAGGCGGGTCCATTCGCCTCTGGCCATCTGGTTGCCTGCCTGGATCAAGCAGGGCTGGGCTGTATCAGTGGAAGGTAAATGCTTACAAGCCCACTTGGCCTAAAAGTTAGCTTGCTCTCCCCTCTTTTATCCCTCCCTTCCCCCCCCCCCACTTCACTTGCTTCATGAAATTTCCCAATGGCTTTCCTCTCTGTGGGTCTGTTTCCTCATCATGGGAAAGAGCCGTTGAGGCTACTCCAGCCCTCAGAGGCCACATTCAGCTAAAAAATGCGACAGTTCCTCTCAAGATCGCAGTGAACAACCAAAGGGTGGATGCTTTCCTGAAATATACTGGCGAAGAGACAGTTTGGATTTTGAGCTTCCCCTCGATCTAGTTCAGTCACTCATCTGTCTCTCTGGGCTGGTTTAGACAGAGCTCTTTTCAGTGAAAGAGAGACAAGGAGAATAAACAGAGAGGTACATCATTCCAGGGGGTGATTGGTGCTATCAAGCAACTGAAACCAGGCTGGGAGTGTGGCTAAGTTGGTCGAGTGTTTGCCAAACAAGCATACTTGAATCCCTGGGTTCTAGTCCCAGCACCGCATAAACCAGGTATGGTGGTACAAGACTATAACCCCAGCATTTGGGAGGTGACGGCAGAAAGGATCAGAAATTTGAGGTCATCCTCTGCCACTACCAAGTTCCAGGTCAGATTTGAGATCGTATCTCAAAAAACGAAACAATATGACCTTTGTGTTGGAGGGGTTCCTTCAGGCAATAGGGTCCAGGCTGTGCTCTCTGTAGAAGGAGCATGCAAGCCAAGACCAGGGGAGAGGCATCCATCCAGACCTGGGAAGATAGGTCTGGAAGGGCTAACAATAACACAGGTCCAGAGGTTCTGTTCTGAGCTATTCAAGGTATAGGAGGTTGGTGAGAGTCATCCAGCTGTCTTGTACACATGGTGGGAAGAACAGATTGTGTTTAAGATAAGCATTTAAACGTTAAGCACATGTTAGCTAACATTTGATTCCATGGGTGGGAACAGGTCCAAGGTTCTCTGGAACGGACTGATCACTGATTAATGAAACAGTAGAAAACATACCCAAATTTATGATATGCGAGGAGTACAATTGCTCATTAACCCAAAAGTGTGTGTGCCCCTTTCTATGAGGGAAGAGGGCTTGGAGAATGTGTGCCATTCCTAAGGGGACTAGTAAATAATTTGGGGGAGGCCTTGGTGGCCTCAGAGAAGCTCACATTGCCCTGGGATGAAGTTGCAGACCCACAGAACAGTGAGTGGCTGTAAATGATTCCTAGTAATATTGGACAGTGCCAAACTCAGACACAATGGGATATGACAGAGGGCTCTTATGGGACTTGGGGATCACAGTGTGAGCTCCCAATAAGTGACAACCTGTCCGTAATAAGCCAATTAAAGGTGTCAGAACCACCAAGTTCTAATTACTCAGCCTCATAGAAACTTTAGCATGTGTTACTTTAATGTGTGTGTGTGTGTTTTGTTTTTCAAGGCAGATTTTTTTCTGTGTAGCCCTAGCTATCCTGGAACTTGCTTTGTAGACCAGACTGGCTTTGAACTCAGAGATCCACCTGCTTCTGCCTCCTGAGTGCTAGGATTAAAGGTGCACTGTGCCTGGATAATAAATATATGTAAATATTTTTAATTGTGTGTACTTGTATGTGTCTGTAGGGATATGAGTATGTGAGTGTAGATTTGCAAAGTGGCCAGAAGGGGTCATTGGGTCCCCTGGATCTGATTTATAGGTGGCTGTGAGCCTCCAGACATAGGTGCTGCAAAAACAGTTTGTGCTTTGAACCTTTGAACCTTTCCTCTACACCTGAATCCCCTTTTTAACGTGGGTGCGGGGGTCCATATGCTTATGCAACAAGGAGTCTTCATCCAAATCCACTGAGCCATCTTTCTAGACGCCAAGGTGTGACTTTTGGCTTGGAACTTCAGTTTATATCCTGTAGCAGAGGATTTCTTTATGGCCAGTGAATGGGGGGTGGGGATTTTCAGGTTTTATGATTGGTTTCAGGGTTCGGGAGAGCTCAGATTTCTACCATCACCCCGGGAAGGAGACATTCTCTCAGTATTTTGTTGTCCTTTGCTTGCTTTGCATGAGACAGGGAACAGGGGGCAGGAGAATAGGAGGTCAGCCTCAGAGGCCTTACATGGGGGGGGTGTCATTTTCTGTGTCCCAACATCAAAGTGATGTTGATCAGTAGTGCCAAGGCAACAAACCTGTTGTAGTCAGGGTTGGGGATACAGCTGGAGATGTGGGCAGGACTCTGGTCACCAAAGGCCAAGAACCGCCACAGAAGGAAAGTAGTGATAGCTGCATGTATGATGGCAGGTAAGAGAGACTGAATCTGTGGGTCTCATGTATTTAACGATGGGGACGGCTGCAGACGTGGCTCAGTTAGCAGAGTGCTTGTAGCTCTGATGGTAGAGTGCTTATGACTCGGTTGGTAGAGTGCTCATGACTCAGTTGGTAGAGTGCTTGTGGCTCAGTTGGTAGAGTGCTTATGACTCGGTTGATAGAGTGCTCATGACTCAGTTGGTAGAGTGCTTGTAGCTCAGTTGGTAGAGTGCTTATGACTCAGTTGATAGAGTGCTCATGACTCAGTTGGTAGAGTGCTTGTTGGTTCAGCTTGCAGAATGCTGGCTTAGTATGCATTAGGCCTTGGGTTCGGTCCCCAGCCTTGTACCAGCTGGGTGGGGTGGTACTTATTGTGATCTCAGCACTCTGAATGTGGAAACCTAAGAAGTTTATAGTAATTCTCTGCTATATAATGAGTTCAAGGCCAGTCGGGGCTACACGAGACCCTGCCTATAAACAACAAATAAGCTATGTGTGGAGGAAGGCAGATCTCTGTAAGTTCAAGGCCAGCTGCTTTACTTAAGTGAGTTTCAGGCCAGCCAGGGCTACATAATGAGACTCTGTGGGAAAAAAAAAAGTTAAAAAAAGAAGCTGGAGATATGGTTGGGCAGTTAATAGCACTTGCCTCTCATTCAGAGGGTACTGAGGTTCAGTACCCAACACCCACGACAGGAAGCTCACAATCAGCTGTAACTCCAGCTCTAGGGGATCTGATCCCAGCTTTTAGTCTCCTTGGGCGCCCACGAGTGCACACAGGTACATACACATAAATAAATATATAATGTATTAATTATAATATAATTAAAACACAACTTTAAGCTGGGTGTTGGCGGCCCACACCTTTATCCCTGCACTTGGGAGGCAGAGGCAGCCTGGTCTACAGAGCGAGATCCAGGACAGGCACCAAAACTACACAGAGAAACCCTGTCTCAGAAAACCAAACCAAACAAACAAACAAACAAACAAACAAAAACCCCTACAACTTTAAAAAAAAATCATACAGTCAGAAGCCTAGAGCAGAGGCCCCTACTCTGGTCTCAGCATTTAGAAGACTGAGATAGGGGGATTTCAGTGAGTTCAAGGTTAGCCTGGGCTCCATAGACCTCAAAAATAAGTGTAATGCGGAGAACAGACCACTTCGTCGTCGTCATGGTGGAGATAGTGACACAGGAAGTGGATGTGATGTGAGCAGTGTCCGCAGTCACTGTGTCCATCTAGGACCAGGCCAAGGGCTTCAAAGAGCCCCTCCTCTCATGGGAAGGCGGCTGATTCTCAAAAATCTTTCGATGGCTCAAATTCATCTTAATACAGCCACCTGGATCAGTCCCTGCTTCTGTGGATAGCAGGAGTCTTCTTCCCCTCCCTCCATCTCCCCTCTCCCCTCTTTGGCAGTCTAAGAGACCAGGAACCCAGTGTCTCATGGGTGCTAGGCAAACAGTTTACCACTGAGCTACATCCCCAGCTGACCCCTTCTTTTATAATCAAACCCCAAAGTACGCCACTGTATGGGAAAGGCTTTCTCACGGCAGTACTTAAATTGAGTAGCTGAGGCAGAGACGACAGGCCAGAAACCCAAAGACATTTTGCTTTCCATTCTAGGCTTTTCTAGCATTTTAAAATTTGTTATTATTATTATTTTTTTTATCTTCTGAGTATGGGTGTTTTGTCTGACTATGTCTATATGCATGTATGACCGTGCAGTACATGTGTGCCGGGTGCCCATGGAGGCAGGAAGAAGCCATCAGATCCCCTGGAGTTGGACTTACAGATGGTTGTGAACCACTGTGTGGGTGATGGGAATCGAACCCAGGTCCTCTGCAAAAGCATCCATTTCTCTTAACCACTGAGCCATTTCCCCAGCCACCGCCACCAGCGTCATCATCAGTTTTGAAACAGTTGGGCCATGTACCTGAGTGACCTTGAACACCTCCCCCACCCCACAACGGGAACAGACCTGGCCCACGCTAGGCAAGACCTGGAACTTCTGATGATTCTCCCTCTACCTCCTGAGTGTGCGGATTGTAGGCGCGGGGCCACCACATCCCACCACAAAAAAGTTTCCTGACCTTTGCTTCGAATCATGCCATGCAGTACTCGCCCCACACCTGAGATCCCCACGGAGCACAGTGTTTGTGGCACTCCTGAGGGTTTCTGGGAAATGCTGCCAAGTGCCGAGTACTCTCAGCTCTCAGGAGCACAACACTATTAGGGTCAGGTTGGCATAGGGCAGAGAGTGTTGCACCAGAATTGTCACGGGAAGAAGTGGACTTTGTGCAGGGGGTGGCAGCTGATCTTACATCACCCAGGGCAAGCTAGTGAGCAAACATTTTTTTTTTTTTTTTTTTTTTTTTTGCTAAACCTTGAGATGAGATACCTTAGGGAAAGGGAGCAATCTGAAGCCTCCTGGGGAAGACACCATCTGCAGCCAGGAATCGCCCTCCCTTTCCTTACCACAGCTGTCTCTTCCCTCCTGAGTTCCGCTGCAATTGCCAGGCCTGTGGGTAGAAAACTTTTTTTCTTTTTGGTTGTTTTGAGACAGGGTTTCTCTGTGTAGCTTTGGAACCTGTCCTGGAACTCGCTCTGTAGCCCACGCTGGCCTCGAACTCACAGAGATCCGCCTGCCTCTGCCTCCCAAGTGCTGGGATTAAAGGCGTGCGCCGCCGCCGCCGCCGCCGCCGCCGCCGCCGCCGCCACCACCACCACCTGGCTGAGTAGGAAAACTTTTTGAAGAATCCCATAGGGGGAAGTTTTCAAGTTTTCTGCCCTAGAGGAATGTACTAAAATCTCTGTGACAAAACTCCTGAGAGAGGTCAGAAGAGGAAAGCAGAATTTTGGATGAAGGTTTCAGACCTCTGAGTGTCGAGGGCTTGGCCCTCCTCCAAACCCAATAAGCTATGATCCATAAATTGATCCATCAGCAACATTAGTGCCTTCATGAGTCAGTCACCACCCAAAGACTACACCTGCACACACACACACACACACACACACACACACACACACACACACACACACACACCTTCAACTCTTGAACTTCTAGGGGGAAGATCTCATACCCAAACTATAACACAAGGACTCAGGAAATCATGGGTGCTTGGGAAGCACAGGGAAAGAGACTTATATCTTTCTGCCATAAGCAACAGGTGGTGGAAGGCAGTCAGCATTTAGACATTTGGCAAATGAGTATCAAAGGCAAGGTGGGTCCTCACGAAGCGGAGCTGACCCCTGCAGCTCTTGTACGCCTGAAGCCAGCAGCCAAGCAACCCGAGCTGTGCAGATCTGTCAGAACCAAGCATGGCCATTTGGAAGGCGGTTCTGGCATGTTAATGCACAAAGCATTACCTAGTTATATGTGACCCTCTGACAGAAGTGCAGCGTGATGAGAACCCAGGAAAGGGGGGTGACTTGTGCTACAGCAGCCGATGAGAAGGCTTCCTTGTAGAGATGCCCCATCCTGTCCCATCTGAGACACCTTTGTCATACCGTAAAACCCACCCTTTAAAAGCCTATCATTCATGGTGCTGGAGAGTTGGCTCAGAGGCCAAGAGCCCTGGTTGCTCTTGCAGAGGACCCAGGTTCAGTTCCCAGCACCCACATGTTGACGAAGAACCATCTGTAATTCCAGTTCCAGAGGATCCAGTACCTTCTTCTGACCTCTGAGGGCACTGCATGTGTAAGGTGTACATACATATGTGCAGGCAAAATACTCATACACGTGAAATAAATATATATATGAAAGTGCTCACAGAGATCCGCCTGGATCTGCCTCCTGAGTGCTGGCATTAAAGGCGTGCACGGAGAAACCCTGTCTCGAAAAACCAAAAAAAAAAAAAGAAAAAAAGAAAAAAAGAAAATGCATAATTCAGGGGGTGGACTCCAGGGCCTTATGCATGTTAGGCAGGTGCTCCACTGCTGAGATATGTCCCTAGTCCATTATTTTATTTTTATTTTTATTTTTATTTTTTTCCAGAGCTGAGGACTGAACTCAGGGCCTTGCGTTTGCTAGGCAAGCGCTCTACCCCTGAGCTAAATCCCCAATCCCAGTCCTTTATTTTTGTCATTGTTTTGTGCCATGGTCTCCTCTATCCCAAAAGGCATTATTTAGTCCAGATGAGTCTCAAACGCAACAGAGACTCTCTTGCCTCAGCTTCCTAGGTTCTGGGATATCGGGTATGTAGCACCATGCCTGGTTTTAATTTCCTTGTGCTAGTATTTTTTTTGTAAACACAGGTCATGTCCATTATGGAAATTCTCATCCGTGACACACAGAAGCAATTAACTTTTACTGTTCACAGGAATAGGAAGAGGGCTGTAGGGACTGTGGAGATGGCTCAGCGGTTAAGAGTGCTTAATGTTCTTGCAGATGACCTGGGTTCAGTTCCCAGAATCCACATGGTGGCTCACAACCACCTGTAGTTCCAGTTTCAGTGAGTCTGATGTCCTCTTCTGGCCTCTGTGGGTACTGCATACACAAAGGCACACATGCACACACATAGGTATAATTTAAAAAATCATATAAATAAGTCTAAAAATATATAGGGCTGTTGCTGGGTTGAGGTGGATGGAGTGATTTCTAATCTTAAGTCGTGAATATGCAACTTGGTTCCCTCTCTTCCTGGAAATGAACCATTTATTAAAGTTTCTCTCTCTCTCTCTCTCTCTCTCTCCATATATATATATATATATATATATATATATATATATATATATACTCGTTTCTTTAAAAACCTTTTGCTGGGAAAAAAAAAAACACAATCCCTTAGGCATAATAGGTACTTTGTGACTTTGTTACTGAATTGAGTCATTATCTGACAGAAGGGATAAGGACAAAGCAGTTTAGAAGTGTGATAAGTCAGCTAGCCACCAGGGTAAAATTTCAGTCCACAGTGCATTAAGATTAAACATTATTATTTTTTTTAATTTAGAATGTTTATGAGATCATGCAGTGCTGTTTAAAGGACGTTTAGTAGATGAAGAACAACTTGCTATCATGCCTCTCATTATCCATGACAAGGCTCCCTTTCCCTTTCTTCCGTCCGGACTCAGCAGAGGTCATCGATCTCTCAGGCACTCATTCTCCAGGAGAGGTTATACTCCTTGCCCTCTGTCAACAGCTTCTCATTTCCCACGGCTTTTGGCTCACTTCTGCTCAGGGCACGTAGCCTTCTGACTCTTAGGCTGAGGTGAGCAAGAGCTGCAGAGTCGGCAGGCTTCCTCCTGGAGTGCTGGCCAGCGGCCCCCAGTGTTTCTACCCTCCCCAGAGAGTAGAGGGTGGGGGTGGGGCGGGGAGGGCAGTGCTGTTGACCTATAATGACCGGTCAAATTGAACAGTGAAAATGGTACGGCCAACTTGCACAATGTGAGCTGGGCAAAGTGACGCAGGTTTGTCATCCGAGCCACTTGGGAGGCTGAGGCAGGAAGACTGCAGGTTCAAGGTCTGCCTGGGCTACGGAGTGAGTTCAAGGCCAGCCTAGCAACCTGGTGAGGCTCTGGGAATGAATGTAGTTCAATGATGACCGAATCTTGCCTAGCTTGTGCCAAGCCATAGGTTGAATCTCCCACACTAGAAAATAAATACATAAATCAATTACAAAAAATAGAAATACAATATACTTTAGGAGCACTTAAGTCTTCAGACTCATGTTTTGATTTTATTTATTTTAGAAGAACTCTTTTTTAGAATAAAAAAATTATTGTATGCATACATACACACACATGCTCAATGCACATGTATGCATTGTATGTTTGCAGTTTCTACAGTGTCCAGAAGAGGGAATAAGATCCTCTGGAACTGGAGTTACAGACTGTTGTGAGCCACAGATAGGTGCTAGGATTTGAACCTGGGTTCTCCGCAAGAGGAGCCAGTGTTCTAACCTCTAAACCATCTTTCCAGCTCCAGAGTTGGCTTTATTTGCACAGTGCCATTAGCATGTTATGTATTTACCTTATACAAAGAGATGTTAGCTCAGGGGATGAGTCTCACCCCATACCCCAGAGTGAGCATGGCACCGAGGCCTCCATCTGCTGCTTCTTCCCAAGGCATTTTTGTTTTCACAGTGCGTTTGGATAGCAGATGACCCATGCTAGGCCAGTCTTGCTTACGGTAACAAAATACCTGAGGCTGAGTAACTTTATAAAAAAAAAAAAGAGGCTTCATTGAGCTCCTATTTCTAGAGATTTAAGGTGGGGGCCCACACTGGGGGACAGTCTTTAAAATGTTTTAAATCATCTTTATTGATTTACTTACACATTTAATGTAGAGCAGGAAGTGTCGGGGGAAGCCTCACATGCCATACATATGGAGGTAAGAGGACAACTTGGGACAGTTGGTTCTTGGCTTCCATCACGTGGATTGTAATGGGACCGAATTCAGGTTGTTAGCCTTGGCAGCGAGTGCCTTTACACCATGGAGCCATCATGCCTGCCCCTCAAAATCTTTCTCCAAGAAGTGAGTGACAGGGGCTGGAGAGATGGCTCCGTGGTTAAGATGGCTCATTGGTGGTTCTTGCAGAGGGCCTGGATTTGGCTCCCAGTACCCACATGGGAGCTCACCATCATCCAGAACTCTAGTTCTGCTGGATCTGACACCTTCTGGCCTCTGCAGGCACCAGGCATTATATGTGGGGCACAGACGCACAGGTAGGCAAAACCCTCAGAAGCCTCAAATGACATCAATGAATCTAAAAGAAATTTGAGTGTCAGCAGCTAGAAGATGCCTCTCGGGCACCATCTAGAGTGAAGGGACGGTGGGCAATTGACACAGTGGAATTGGAGAAGTGCAGACAGAGCTTTGAGGTAGTCCAATGCCACTGAAGGTGGTGAGGGGCTCGCTGTGTCCCAACGTTGTGATTACATCGGCCTCGATCCCAGCCACAGTCCGAGGTCTCGCAGGCTGCGGAATGGATGGTGACTGTCACCACCTCTGGCTCCCATCTGTGTTTTCCCTACAGACCGTCTTGAAAGCCTTAACCATAATGGCAACTCCAACTTTTCCCTCTCTCTGTTTTTTTTTAATGAAGGGACCACCTAGAAGCCGCAGGCCACATGTGCGTTCTGAGAGATGCCTTTGACTTTGAAAGCCCGGCTGAAATTGCCAAGCTCATCGCCGCGGAGAACCTGGAAGCAGCCCTAGCCCTTCACCTCTACCGAGGAGGCAGACTTCTGCAAGGTACACCCCTTTCAAGCTTCCAAAGTCACACGAGGCAGGCGGGGTGGGGCAGGGGGCGGGGATGCTGAAAAATACCGGATGTAGTGTCCTGTTCCCCAGAGACAAACTGAAGGCTTATACAAGGTCTCCATTTTTTTCCTATTAAGCAAATTTTCTAAATTTGGTAACTTGGCCACTTCAGAACAAGTAGATATTGATGATATCGTTACCGTAGAAATATCTGAGTGTCAGCCTGAGGCTAACCGTGGTGCTACCTGTGCATATTCACAGCATGGGGTCTCTCTCACAACGCTGTGGTTGCCATGGGTCAGAGCGTCTGTGTCTAGAGTAGCTCACTCACTCAGCTGTGGCTAGGAGACCTCTTTCCTCCCTACCTGGGCTTCTCCATGGGTGGGGTGTTGCAGTTTACTTCCCTGTTGCGATGATAACACACCCCGACAGATGCACCTTTAAGAGAGAAAAGGTTTGCTTTTGGGGGCTTACCGTCCCAGGTTACAGTCCATCATTGAGGAGGGGGAAGTCAAGGCAGGAACTTGAGGCAGCCAGTCACATCACATACAAAGTCAAGAGAAATGAATGCATGCCCATTTCCTACCAATGCCCCCTGCTCTATATTTATATCACTCAGGATTCCCTGCCTAGGGAATGGTAACACCGACAGTGAGCTGGGTCTTCCCACATCAATTAAACCAAGACAATCTCCACACAGACATGCCCACAGGCCAGTCTGACTCAGACAAACCCTTGCTGAGATTCTCTTCCTGGTAATTCTAGGTTGTGTCAAAGTTGACAATTAAAACGAACCATCGCAGGTAGTTTAAGTAGCTTTAGACATAGTGCCCAGCTTCTCTTGTAAAGAACATTCTAGCCGGGTGGTGGTGGCACATGCCTTTAATCCCAGCACTCGACAGGCAGAGCCAGGCGGATCTCTGTGAGTTCAAGGCCAGCCTGGTCTACAGAGCGA